AAAACAAATTCACTGCCATCAAGTCAATTCCGACTCGCAGCAACCCTACAGAACAGGGTAGAACTGCCCCAGTGGGTTTCCAAGAGTGCGAATCTTACGGAACACAAAGCCCATCTTTCTCCCATGCAGCGGCTGGCAGATTTGAACTGCTGACATTGCAGTTGGCAGCCCAATGGACAACCCTCTATGCCACCAGGGCTCCTTCGACCAACATAAGCTAGTTGGGAGAACAATATTTCCCATTGTTCCAGGAAAATGATCATTTCCTCCCATTTGTAACCTAAACCTAAATTGCTGGAAGTATTCCAGATTGGGGAAAGTTTGGCACAGCTGTTAATAGGGGCTTAAGTGATTTAGTGCAGGGGGAGATGCCAGAATGCGAACTTAAGCAGAGTACCCACATGCTGTAATGATGCAGATTGTGGTCAGATGATTTATAACGCTGACATAATTTTATTTCAGGAACACAGTTGTTTATGTTGCTCTCCCCCATGCCCCAGATTTTAAAAAAACTTCTGCTGTTATTCTGAGGCAGCATTGCACATTATGTGTGCTCAATCAGACATAGCTCAGAGAGCATCTTGATTAAAGAACCATAATTTATCCCTTAACAACAACAACAACAACAACAACAACAACAAAAACCAACCCTAACCTCCTCTGCCTGTGTCAGGGGAATTGGCCTATTTAAAAGCTAACTGGCACTCTCGGCGCTGGAGAGTAGGAGTTGGGAGAGGTCATTAGACCCCGATTCTCTCTTGGTTCCTGTCTCGAGAGCCCATCACCCAATGGCTTTCCCTCCAGTCTAGGATCTCCCTTAGGTGAGTCATTTTAGAAAAAAAATTTTTTTTTAGCATTTGGGGAGCCAATCAAATTAATCTGCCACATGGGCACAGGTACAGCAAACATACACTTTCCCTTTCACTGCACCGAGAAGGACTCCAAATCGTGACCCCAGACCAGTCGGCCTTGTGCTCAGCTGCCTAGCAGCCTGTCTCTGTACCGCACTTTGCACAATGGACCTTTGCGTCCTCTCTGGTCTTTGACCCAGGCTACCCTGAGCTTGTTTTTTTAAGTGAAAAGACCATTTTATTGGGTGCTCTTACAGCTCTTATAACAATCCACTCATAAATTGTATCAAGCATATTTGTACATATATTTGTTGCCATCATTCTTTTCTAGACATTTACTTTCTATTGCGCCCTTGGTATCAGCTCCTCTTTTTTCCCTCCCCTCTAATGTCGCCTTGATAAGTTATAAATTATTATTTTCATATCTTACACCAACCGCTGTCTTCCTTCCCCCATGATTTCTGTTGCTCATCCCCCTGGAGGGTGCGTGTGACTATATGTTGTTCATTGCAATTGGTTCCCCTTTCCTGCTTTCCTCTCCCTACCTTCCCCCTACCTTTCTGGTAGCTCTATTCCCAGGCCTGTTCCTGGATTGTGTGTTTCATGAGCTCTTATCTCTTATCTGACCTGTCTGACAGGCAGGACTGATAGTGGGGGGCGAGGAAGCCTCAAGGAACCAGAAGAACAGTGTGCTTTCACCTCGGGCTGTTGATTTGCCACCCCTTCTGTCTGGAAAGTTCTTTTCCTTGGTGTTTCCCTGGCCGGCTCCTGCTTGCCTACCAGCTGAGAAAGCCCTCCCTCGTTACTTTAGCTGCATTTTCCCTGGGTCCATTCGTGTCTTAACTCCTTAGCCTAGTGTTGTTTTCCCCCTAGGAGTTGTTTGCTTATTTTGTTTTGTTCCATCTTGTGATCTACCACTGTAGAATATAAGGTCCAAGGTTTCTTGTTTTCTCCTTAACTGTGTTCCGAGTGTCTGGCACCCAGTAGGTGTTCAACAAATGTTTGCTAAATGAAGGGTGAGGGAAAGGAGTTCTCCCACTGACACAATTAAATGAATGTAAAATTCATAAACGAGTGACGTCACATTTCCCTAGCTGGATGATCTTCCTGGAATATAATAGAACATGGGAACCAAATTCCATTGCCTCACAGTCTTCTGGTTCCACGTCCCACCTGTTACCTACCTCCCTACCTACCCATTGCCACCCAGTGCATCCAACTCATAGTGATGCTATGGGGCTCCCTCACAGAGTGTCCAAGGTATTCCATCTGTGTGGAAGCAGACTGCCACATCGTTCTCCAACTGAGTGGCAGCTAGGTTTGAACTACTAACTTTTCAGTTAGTGACAGGGCACTGAACCAGTTCACTACCACGGTTCCTTCCCACCTGTGACTCACCTGTAATTATTGCAGAACCCCCATGTCTGTTAGTCTCCTCACCAGCTCCCCACTCTCTTGCAGAATCTCCAAATCAGAGCATCCACCGATACA